GGCCAGGAGCAGGCGGGCTGCAGTCCAGACACCGATGGGCAAGGAGGAGCTGCCCTGCCTGTCCCGGTCCCCTCATGGGGACAGCAGTGCACAGCAGGGAGTGTGGCCTGGGAACTCGGGCTTCACCCCAGGTGAGACTATGACACTGGGCTGCTCTGTGCCTTGCTCTCCCTGCTTCTGGGCACGGCCTCCAGGGCAGGCTTACGAATGGCCCCCCAAAATGTCCACATTCTAATCTCCAGGACCTGTGAACGTCACCTCGGTGGTGAAGACTTTGCGAATGTGATTCCATGCAGGACCTTGAGATGGGAGATACTCCAGGTTATCGGGGCCGGCTGTGGATGTCACCACGAGTGTCTGCACGACGGAGGTGCGTGGGCGTGGTCCCCAGACGGAACAGGAGGCCGCACTGACCACAGAGGCAGAGACTAGGGTGACGCGGCCACAGGCCCAGGACAGCTGGAGCCGCAGGGATGGGATCGGACCCGGAGCCTCCAGCGGGAGTCTGGCCCTGCCCGCAGCTTGATTTCAGCCCGGTATCAGCCCGACACCGATTTCGGGTTCGGGCCTCCCAAACTGCGAAAGCACGAATCCCATCATTTTAAGCCACCAAGTGCGTGGCGGTTTGTCACAGCAGCCGCGGGACACTGGCTGCGCCGTCCTTGCCAGGGGGCTGTGGGAGCAGGGTCTGGGCTGCTTCCTTGCAAAGCAGCTCCTTCTCTGTGTTGGGATGGAGAACTTATTTCTTGGGGTCACCTCCCCTGCCATTAGGTCAGCACTCTTCATGGGCCAAGGACACCCTGCATCCCGGAAGGATCCAGGCTGTCCGGTGGTAGGACCGTGGGACACCCCGTGCGAAGCAGGCCGGCTAGAGAAGGTGCCGGCCGCAGGGAGACAGCAAAACCTGCTCTTCCCTGTCCCGTGCTCGGCTTCCTGGTGACGCATGGCCTCCTCAGCCACTGACAGAGCCCTGAGCATGTCCTCTGTGCTCGCCTGGGCCTGTCCCACAGCACAGGGTACAGGGTATCTTCACGTGTCCGTCATCCCAGGAGAACTGACCCGCTTCCTAAAAAGGCAAAGTGCCATATCGGGGCAGGGGGGAGTCCAGAATCTCGGTCCCTCGGCGACCACTTACTACAGAGGAACAGTGACCACGAGGAGAAGGTGGCCCCTCCCTAGAGAGGGAGGTGGGGAATGGAGGCTGCACCCCAGGCGTGTATGGGGGCCCTGGCTGGGGCACGAAGAGCATCCTGGGAAGCCCCCTGAGGAGGGGCCTGAGCTGGTCACTTACTGCTGCAGAACAAATTACGGCAGCCTGAGTGCCACAGCCGCACACTGTCCCCTCGGTTCCCGCTGGCTGGGCCCGCTGCTGCCACCCGGGGCTCAGCCGGGGCTGGGGGCCCATCTCGAGCCTGGTGAGGAAGGACCTGCCTGACCGACGCGCTGGTCGGTGGCAGGAGAGGCCGCGGTTCGTCCTGCAGGAGTAGACCGCCTGGGCTGCACCCCTCTGGGCGGGGGGCCACCGGGCCCTGGGCTTTGGAAGTGGGGTGGCACAATCTGAGGGTTCCCTTTGCATAAACAGCTGAAAGCTGCAAACCACAGCCCTGACCCCCCAGGGCACCGCTGGCTCTCGGAGCTGCTTGCCGAGGCCGCTCGTCCATCTGAGCTGTCTTGGCTGGCACCGGGGCCACCTCCACCGTGACAGGGAGCCAGCCGAGGGCCCCCAGCGCTGGCCGGCCCGGGCCAGACTCGCACGTCCTCGTCCATGCTCTGGGAACTCAGGCGAGTCCTTCACGTCTGTGCAGGGGGCGGCGCGGTTACGTGTGTGACACGGCTGTGAGCCACAGCACAGAGTCGGCCAGCAGAGCCGGCGAGGGTGACCACGGTGCAGCGAGTGCGATGCAGCCTGGCCGGCTCCCTCCCCCCTCACAGAGCCAGGCGGCACCGGCGGGCGTCGGAAGAACGCAGGGGGCTCTGCTCCACGTCTCCGGGCCTCGCGTGACGGGACGCGGGTCCTGCAGCGTCTGAAGTTCAGACGGCGCTCCTGCTCCCGGGGGCTGCGGCCGGTGTCAGGTAAAAGCCGGGTGACCCTTGCTAATTTATGGTGAATGCAGGCGGCTTATTTCTCAGTGGGGGGAGGCAAAGCAAGGGGCACGGGTTTCTGCTACACGGCTGTGACGACAAACATGAATCGTTCGCTCTCTCTGTGTCCACCTCCCGTACTTTCTCTCCATCGAGTCCCACGGCCCCAGGAAGGAAGCCGTTTGCACCCGTTTCAGCGAGGTGCCAGCTGACACAGCCACGAAGAGACGAGGTGGGGACTCATGCTCAGGTCTGTGGCTGGAGGCCGTGGTGACCGACGGGACGAACTCGAAGGCGTCCACCAGCGGGCCCCGCCTTCCCCCTTCCAACCCGCCACTCTCCCTGTGGTCACTGGCTCCCAGGGCCCCCTGCGTATGACATCGCCAGCACCCACGTCAGAACGCTGGCCCCACTGTCCCCTGCCATTCCAGTGTAAGAATTCCCCTAAAGGAACCAGAGACGCACACGGAGGTGTAAACAGACAAATGTATGCAAAACAGAAAAACTAAATGAACACAGGTGTCCAACGAGAAGGGCCTGGTTTGTCGATAACTAACAGTAAACAGAATCGCATGCAGGCCCCGGCACCCCTACTTAACGTCGTGGCTTCACGACACGATATATTGAGACGCAAAAACCGGGAATGAGCAGAATGCGCGCGGGGCGACCCACGCATGAAGGATGATTCTGTCACATGCACCTCTGCGCAGAAATGAAGGTGGAGGGCTGTCCGCCAGCACGCTGACGACGTTCTCTCTGAGAGATGAGAATGCGAAGGACAAAGTCGTTTTCTTCTTTATCATTTTCTGTCCTGTCCCAATTTTCTTCAATGATGAGTGTCTTTTTATAATAAAGATAGAAGGGAGTGTATGTTGAGGGCAGAAGCTCGGGGTGCTGCCTGCAGAAAGCCCCGCCTCTGTGTCCGTGATGTCGCGGGCGAGAGGGACCTCTGTTCAGCTGCCTGGACCCCAGGTGCCACAAAGCCCAGGTGACTCGGCCGGAATTGCGAGGTCGGGGTGCAGAGGCAGCACTGCGGACAGCGGCCCTCGGTCCTGCTGCAGCTGGGGCCCTGCGTCGCTGCTGGCGACCAGGTGGTGAAGCCCTTGGGCCATGGCGCTGCTGCCCGCAGGCCTGGACTCTGCCGTGCCGTGGCCCCTCGGCGGTTTGCATGCCACCCGCGAGCTGGGGACCGTCACTGCAGACCGACGAGGGGCCAGGCCAGGCTCGCTGTGCAGCCCACGGCTGCTTGGCCGCAGCGAAAGCCGACTGCCCACATGCCCCCAACGCCTGGGACGGCCGGTCACAGTTCTGCCTCCCTCCCGGCCGCTGCAGCTCCAGCCAAGGACTCCGCCAAAGGCCCAGCTCTCAGCCCACACCCATGATCAGAACGAGCTGTCCCTTCTCCCCGTGGCCTACCCACCCCCGGCCTCCCAGGCTCCCAGCTGCCAGGCTGGGACTCGCCCGTCTCATCCCATCGATGACTCACACGCCGGCAGAGGGAGGCAGGCAGGGACGGTGTCAAGTCCCTCCCTGGCCTTACAGCGACTGCGGCCCAGCCGAGCAAAGTTTTCCATCTCGTGTGTGTCTGCCGGCCGTGCCGACCAGCCTGTGGCCTCCGGAGCCTTTGCCCCACAATGTGGTCCAGCCAAGCACTCCTCTGGGGACTGCTCACGCCGCCCCGCCCCCAGAACTCGGAGCTGCCAGAGAGCAAGGACTCCCCTGAACCAGGAACCAGGCCGGGTCCTCCCCCAGCAGAGACAGACTCCCCACAGAGGTCACGTGTCTAACCAAACACGCCATGACCATCTCCCTGCCCAGTTCTTAGAGCCTCAGGAAGCCCCGGGCTGAGAGGTGGGGCCCGGCGCTCCCGGGCTGCTCCCAGCCAGCTCTGCTGGTCTCAAGTGGCATTTTATCTCCCCACTAGGCTGGAGCTCTTCGGGGACAGGGATCACCCCCACTTCCCCGCTGCCCAGCTCGGTGCCTGCCCGAGAGGCATTCAGCCCATGTTTGCCGGGTGACCGCCCTGAGTCCTGATCCCACCTACTCACACACTGTCCCCTTTCCGAGGGCCCGGGTACCTCCTTTGTGCCCGCATCCCCACCTTCGATCACCTTCGGGCTTGTCGGTAGACGAGGATCTTGTTTTTGAGGCTGGAGGATGCAGCGCACCCTTACTCACGCTTACAGCTCGAATCCAGGAAGGGGGTGGCCGGCGTCATCTTCCCCCTTCCCCACCCCCACCCAGTGCTGCCGGCCATTCCCCCCTCGCCCCAAAGCCCAGGGCAGACGTCGCCAACTGGTCCCAGCACGCGAGCCGAGCCCAGGCCCTCTCGGCGCTGAGCAGGGCTGGCACGGAGGCAGGCCGTGCTGGGACTGTGTGAGGGACAGGTTGCAGCCTGATGCGGTCACATGCGACATGTCTGAAAAAGCCCTGTGTGATTTGTCAATTCTTGTTCCCGAATCGGATGACCGAGGTGCTCCTGGGGAGGCCCGGAGACCGAGTCAGCGCGCGTGAGGCTGGGGCCCCCGGTCTCTGCGCCTCGGCTCCCGGGTGGAAATGGCCGCCGCTGCACGCTCCCATACGGAGAAGCTGCTGTGTAACTGTGGGAAGCCTGAGCTTGGAGACGCACTCTGCCCGGAGCGGGGCCACCTGGAGCCGGGCCCCCCTGCACGGACGGCAGGCCCGGCCGCCCGAATGCAGAGCAGGCAGCGGCAGGGGCCGCGCCGACCACTACGCTGTCCCTCGGCCCAGGCCTGGGGGCCCTCCCTCCTCGGAGGACCAAGGCCGAGCCTCCTGGGGCCTCGTGTCTCCTCGCCCAGCTGGGGGCTGCAGGATGGGCTGCACCTGGGAACGCGGGTGACGACGCAGGTGCTGCCGGCCCTGGGCCTCTGTGGGCAAAGAATCTCACTTGGCGAACGGCGCGCTCACTGCCCTTTGCAAGGCATCTTCATTATGGCATGGGCATGAAATGGCAATGGCCAAACCCTACCCCACCCCCACCCCCCTCAGGCCGAGCACCCCGGGGGGCAGAGGGGCAGGAGGTGTGCAAGGAATTGTGCAAAGAGGCCTGGAGGCATGGGGGTCCCAGAGGGACCTCAGCAGCAGGAGACCCCCAAGCGTGGGCCTCAGGCCCATCAGCCCCCCACCAAAGTCAGTCCCCACCAAGGTCAGTCCGAGGCAACCCTGCTCCAGGTGCCAGGCCTCCGCAGTCCTGAGGCTCAGCGCCCCGTGGGGGACTCTGGGCCGGGGACGAGCAGCAGTCTACGGAGCAGGTGGCAGGGTCCCGCGGGAGGGGGCCTCGTGCAGCTCTCCATCACGACACACGCGTCCGGCCCGCGGCTGGAGGGCCTGCGCTGGGTACGTCCTGATGGCCGGAGCATGTCCAGGGGCTGACGCTTCATCCTCAGCCTGAGCGACCTTCTGCTGGCCTCCCTGGGCCTGCTCTTTCCTTCAGCCCCGACACCTCGACACCTCCCGCATGTGACACGGCTCTGCCTTGACAGGTGGAGCACCGTCACGCCCCCACGGCCGAAAGGGGCAGGGGAGCTGGCGAGAGAGAAAGCAGTTAGGGCAGGACGGACCCCGGGTGAGTGTCCAGGCCCCATCTCTTCCAGACAAACAGAAAGTGACACGCGTACCACACACTGGGACGGAGGAGGAGCCCACTCCCTGCCCGGGGGGAGGGGTCCGTGAGGCTCCACTCTCTCGCCAACCCTGGCTGCAGAGTGACGCCTTGACGGGAGGGTCCTAGGGTGTGTGCCCGCCCCCCAGGACGCTTCTTAAGGTGGAGAAGCTGCGGGGCAGCGGGGCAGGGGAAATGAAACCGGAGTGGTACAAATCCACCCCCAGCCCCTCTCCTAGCTCCCAGGGGAGGGAGTGGCATCTGGGGCAGAGGGCGCAGGGCCGGGAGCCAGGCCTTCCAGGTTCTATTCCTGGTCCCTCGCCTGGGCCTTCCTGACCACCACCCACCCCCGCCCCCTCCCTGCTGCTCACGGAGGATTAAGACATCACAAATAACAAACCAAGAA